AAATAATTCTGACAAAAATAACACTAATTTAAAGAAATAAAATCTCAGAATTGGTTAATGTGGATCTATTGAGCCACTGCACTTGAGGGCAAAAATGAAGGTGATCCCCTGGTTTGGGGTCGTTTTATTATTGTTGAGGTTTTGGTTGGGGGAATGACTTACTCTGCTTTCTCAAACTAGGGACAAAATTTAAAGTTTCATGTAAACCAAATTAAAAGAGGAAGAGGAAGGGAAAGGGGAAAGAGTAGGAGAAGAAACAAACTTCTCAAAGACCTGCATATCTCTCTCCTTGCACAAACCATATCAAGAGCCTCCGCTGGGAACTTCCATGTGTGTCCATGTGTCACGGTAAATCAGTTCAGCCTTCCCACCCTGGCTGGGCAGAGCATGAGAACAAAGGGCCAGAGCAGAAAGGGCAGAAATGGGGGAAGAGGAGAGTAGTATCAAGCCACAAAGAAGGCAAGGATGCACAGTGTCAGGCAGGGTGTGCCTGCCGGGGGATGGACGTGGCCGAGGGGCAGAGGTGTGCAAGGACACGGGGCAGAGGTGTGCCAGGAGACAGGCCAGGGCAGCAAGGTGGAAGCATGTCGGCCCAAGAAAGAGCGGCTCCAAAATGATGACCCTTTGAAGGAACCCTGCATTTCCTTAATCAACTGATTTCCTCCTGTCAAAAACGCCTCATTTAGCAAGGCTTGTTCTGGGCTAAAACTGAATAAGTGTAATTGACAAAATGCTTGAATTTGGGTTTCAGTCTGGAGAAAAATACCTCTCTACTGGCTTCTCCAATGTAATTACGGAAAAAAGATACACTTCTTTAAGAGCTCTTCTTCCAATTAAATTTGGGGGTAGGTCCCGACGTCCCTCCTGATCCCCCCATACACCACTCCCCTGCCCCCCTGCTCCCCACACACACACACTCACACATACACTTAGACAATGGCAGAGATCTGGCTTTCTTTCTCAAGAGAGGCACTAAGGCCACAGATGAGGCAGCTGTCAGAGGACTCGGCTGTAATCAGCTTTAACTGGCTCACAGCCTGCAGAGGACACAGACCCTCTTATTCCTACAGTAACAGGTCAGGCTGCTGGCGCTGGGATGGATGTGGGGGTGGTCTGAGTAGGTTTCTGTTTCAAATGTCTTCCTTATGTGGGATTGCAAAGCAAAACTTAAATTGCAGGTCCCAAGAACTTAGATACACATATAGAAGAGGGTACTTAAAAATTTCAGATCATGGCTTCAATTACATGTCACATGTCATTCCCAGCATGATTTGTAAGGACAGTAAATCAATGAGACAATAAAAGGAAAAGTTAAAACACAACTAAAAATGGGTTTTTCAGGCGAGTCTGAAATGCTCCAAGATTGCTAGTTAAGAACAGTATCCCTTTTCTCAACCTAAGCGTTATATCCCCATCTCTTCATCAGCATCATAAACGGAGTGCCATTAGGTATACAGGTGGCCAAGGACAAGGGTTCTCTCTACACAGTTGAGCTGTTTGTTGCAGTGTGACAGGACAACTGCCCCTCCCATAGCCCCAGACATCTATTGTAAAAAGATATGGACTAGATGAGATTAAAGTCACCATATCTGTATCACATTTAAAAAAAAAGTAAAAAAAAAAAAAAACATTCACTCGAATCTTACAATGGGAGGTGGGAGTGGTGGGTGGGTGAGGGTGGGAATAGAAAAGCAAGGGGGAAAATCTAAACAGCAGGATACGACAATAAATGGGGAAACAGCAAGAGAAAAAGCACACTAGGTTAATATAGGAAAACTAGTTCTTTATTGAGAGATTGTATATTAGTATTAGTGGATTCTGTGTGTAACAATGTCGTCATGCACACGATACAAAAAAAAAAAGGCTGGGCCCACCATGCTTCGGAAGGGCAACAGAACAAAAGCAGCGTACAATGAGCAGATGGCCCGGGCTACACGACCACAGTACGTTTCAGCAGGGTAACATCTCTAACCGAGCGCTGTACATTGTCAACTGAGGAATGTAAAAAAATACAGATCATGCTTTAGTTTTAGTACAAGAAAAGGTGAAAAAGATACACAACCAAAAGGATATTTGATACAGAAAAAATTACCCACAAAATAAGAACAGGAAGTAATTCAGCACAGCAGAACACGCTATCCCTGTTTAATGGAAAACCATTTTGCTGGGGATTCTTTTCTTCTTCTCTCTCTCTTTTTTTTTTTCCTCTTTTTTCTCAGATTGCCAAATGGCAGTCTGGGGTGGCCACTCGGGACTTTATTTTGGAAGGGCCCTCGAAGTAGGGGCCTTATTCTTTCATTATTCCCGCTGTTTTGTTTCAGTTTTCAAGCAGGTCTGGCCAGCGAGGCAGCAGAAGGGAGCCGGCTGTTAAAGGGGCAGCTCTGAGAGCCAGGGCGGATGTCCAAAGATGCTCTTGACATTGTACAACTAAACAATTAAGACACCGTGGCCATGGCTCCCACGGAAGCCAGGGACCTTGCTGCACCAAATTTTCAGAGGCAATGGAGCAGCAGCAATTGTCATGTCATCAAGATTTTCAAATATGTTTATTATTTTTTGCCTCCGATGAAATCTAATCTCTTGATTTATGCCTGGGTGCTGCCAGGAAGCTAGCTGACAGCCACCCAGATAAGTGGGAAATGGGGTGCAACAGCCTCCAAGCCAAGGCAAAAGGAATCCACTTAACAGGGATTTACAGTGCAATGTACTTGGCTAAACAAGATGAAGATACAAAAATGGTTATTTCTCTACATCTATTCTGAAATGGCCTACATCCTATACTACTACAATGGAAACTAAAAAGAACAGATTTAAGCTGGCAAGCTATCTAATAGTTTTACAAGAAGATTGTGGTTTAGGACCTTGTTGGGTTAAGCATTAGTATCCTCTATCGGAAGGTCACAAATTCTTATCACATTGTGCTAAATTTTACCCACAGCCCAACTCACCCACAGCCCATGAATTTCCTGTGGGCGTGTTTGCCATGAAAGTAAACTTTGACTGACAGGCAGGATTTGTTTTGTTGGGGTTCTTTGGGGTGGGGATGGAGGGTTGTATTAAAAATAAAATTTAAAGGCAGCTGAGCAATTTGAATTTCAAAACATGGAATCAGCATCCTGCAATGGTATTTAGAGATCGGTGGTATTAATGAGAATGATAATGACTTAATCAGGATAATTATACTTGCAGGCTCAACATCCTTCTTAATCATTTTTGAATTTCTGCCTAGTGAAATGTTCCACACCCATTTTAAGAGGAAATGCCAAGCTGCAAGCCATAATTGTGTCTTGGGGAAGGGAGTTGGCATTTCAGGGGAGAGCTCATCCAGCGCCCCCATTCCTGCTCCTCACACACCCACCCCACCCCCGACCCCCGTTTGCTAGGCCGGCCTGAGATAGGGGATACTGCCGCTTAAATAGCAATGCCTTCCTCAGATGGAGACAGGAGATGGTTAAGAGGGGTGTCACAATACAGCTAAATGCGGAGGCAGAAGGGTCACAGCGCACACAGCAGCGAGTTGACCATTCACTGAGCTACACAATGAAGAAAAAAAAGATTTGATAAATGCAGAATGTCATCATTCTATCATCACACAAAAAAAACTGCGGTTCAAACAGGCCTAAGGGGGCCAACCTTGCCTTTTAGGTTCTGGGGAGGGGCGTGGGGCTGGGGACAGCTGGGCTGGAAGAAAGAGGGCTGGGCTTTCATTTTCTTGCCCAATCGGGCCCCTGGGGCGCACTAAAGCGCTGGCCCCGCGACCCCCCCCACCCCCGACTCTGACTTGGAGGAGCAGCCCCGGTCGCCGAGGGAAGACATCATTCAGTGCGTGAGGGAGGGGCAGAGGGGTAGGGAGGGCCTTAGCCAGCAGGGACTTAAGCAGACGTGGAGTGGGAGAAGAGAGCAGAAACACTTCCAAGAAGAGAAATGTGAGTCCAGAGGCAGAATACAAAAAGAAAAATGAATCTAAATGCACCTCGGATTTGCTTTGGGTGGTGGGATTTTTGATTTAAAGAAAATGGAAGAAATGTGGAAGGGGGATAGAGGGGGAAATCAAGCTATTGTTGCAGCAGAATGTAAGGGAAGGGGGATGCGGGGAAGGAGACCGTGCAAACACACCCCATATATCACAGTTAAAAACAAAGCCGGCGCCGGCCTGCTGCTTTGTCAATGCCTGCCCGGGGGCAAAGGCCTGGAGTGGGGGCAGCTTCCCACCTCATCCTCACACACAGCGTAACAGCCAAGGGCCGGGAACCCCAGTCCGGCAGGACCCAGGGGTGCACAGCAGTGCAGGTCTGACTCTCCGAGGAGCGCGCACACTCGCGCGCGCGCGCGCGCGCGCACACACACACACACACACACACACACATTTTGAGCCCATAAATGCAACTGTCATACAGAGACAATGGGGGGGGTGCACAAGGGCGATACAAAAAAAGGGTTAAAGGAGAGAAAACGATAGGACAGGAAAGCGTGCAAGTGCCCACGAGAGGGTGGGGGCTGGGGCACGGGATAGGGCAGATACCAGATCCCAGCTAAGCAGCCTTCGGTATCGATGACCAAAAAAATGAAATACAAACGCAAATAATACAAAACACATATACCTAAAAAAAGAAAAATCACAGAAAACCAAGAATGCTCACACACACACACGCACGCACGCACACAGTCAAGTACCTCTCTCCTTTCGATCAGACAGGGCTAGGTATTAGGGGAAGGGGCTGTGATTAGGGGACCCGCGTCCGCCGCAAAGAATAAAAACTGGGGCTGGGAGGGGGGACCCAAATTCGCCAAACCCTAACTTCGCTACAAAAGCTCCCACGAGGGCGGCCACCCTTACACTCGGGGGTCCCCCCAAAAGGGAGAGGGAAGCCACCGCTCGTCCTGCGCCCTCACGGGTGTACCCTGAGCCCCCAGCCGCCCGCGGCGTCCACCCCCGCCCCCGCCCCGGTGCCTGCGGCGATCCACGCTCCGAAGCTGACCCCGAAAGGAAAAAGCGATACCTCTGTTTCGCACAGAGCCAAACACTGGAAGCACGAGATAGCCGACGTGGACCAGGACCATCCTGGCTCCTCGCGCGGCGGCGGCGGCGGCGGCTGCGCGCGGGCCCTTTGTGGCGCGGCTCCGGGGCGCGGGCGCGGGCGGCGGCGGGGCTGCGGGAGCCGCCGGGGCGGGAGGCGGAGCGCGGGGCGCGGGCGGCGGTGGGGCGGCGGCTGGCGGGGAGACAGATGGCCCATGGAAAGGCTCCCTTCCCGGCCCCTCTCGACATTCAAAGGCGCTGGGGCCGCAGCTGCCGCCACACAAAGGCGCGCGCAGCCAATGGGAGCGGAGCGCAGCGCGGCGCGGCCTCGCCGGAACCGCGGGGGACAGCGGGGACCGCGGGCGCGCGGGTGGCGGGAGGAGGGAGGGGTGACGGCTGAGAGCGAGCTGTCGGCCAATCGCGGTGGCCCGCGGCCGGGCGCAGGGAGGTGGGGTGGGGGTGGCGGTCAGCCCCGCGAGGCGCATTGAGCTCAGCGCGGGTCCCTGGACGCCCGCAGGCCAGAGAGGGTGCACATGAAGCGCCTTGCACAGACGCGGGCGGCGTGCACACGGACCGCGCACACACCCAGAGGGACGTGAGCCCAGACATGTGGAGGTGCGTTCGTGCGTGCGGAGAGACAGGCACGAGCGCACGAAGTGCACACGACCCCGAGGTCCTTGCACACCGCGCACGGGTCACTTGGGGACGTGCGCATGGAGGCTGGCGCACGTGCAGAACCTGACTGCGGGCACCAGTGAAGCTAGAAACCGAGCGAGCAGCCTCACACAGGGCTCAACCATAGGCACACAGACATGCACACACCAAAAGCCTTGTTAACACAGGAAACGTGCCAACATCACATTCCCAAAGCCACCTAGAGGGGACCCACAATGCAGAGATATGTAGGCTCCCAGACTCGCTGCCTGTCACAATGCTTTGTTGGTTTTGCAGGGCACAAAGCTCACAATAATGATTTGCTAAATTGAAAGCCACTCGTACACTGAGGCATGTGCACACATCCTATACATAGACATGCTCACCTCGAAAACCCGGAGTCGCTTGGCCACTATTCACCCCACTCTGACACAGGCAAAACCAGCCATGTGCAGAGACACGCCCACTTCCACAGTGGGCAGGCACAGGAATGACATCAGGGCTAGGAGCCTCTCAGATTCACATGTGGGGATGTGGCCATGGTGTCACATGTGGCCTGTGACTGGCACATAGGGCTGAGCAAGACAGAAGCAAAGAGCCTTCACTGCACAGCCCTGCTGTCGGATGGACTGCTAAGACCACCTTCATGCACTCAGCCCACCTGTTGTGAAAACTCCCAACATGACCCTCACACAGGGCTCACAGTCCACACCCAGGCCAGGGTGTGCTTGGGGAGCCTATCCTCAGGAGGAAATACAGATGTTTCCCACGTTGGGAATTGTCTTCCAAATCCAATGGCTCCTTTATTTAATTAGTCTGGTAAAAACTAAGAGGTATATTCTCAGTATGTGCAGCTGGAAGGAATCTAATTCAACCCAACCTGGCCCTATTTAGTGATAAGGAAAAGGAGGATCCTCATCAAAGGCCTGTGTGCCTGTGTCAGGGCATAGGGAGGTGATGTCGATCCTCCTGACACATGACCCTTGCAGCCCAGAGGGGCTTCAGAAGTGTAAATGCTATCACTATAAAGCCTGCCAGGTGCAGAGATGGAGATCAGTATGGGGGGCTGGAGATGGGGGCACCTAGGACAGGCACTTAGCTTAGTGGGTGGGAGGGAGGGAGCACAGTTGGCATTGAGTCAAGAAAAGTTACATCTAAACTGACTTGAAGAATGGGGGAAGTAAGGTGAAACAAAGGAGGAGACATCAAAGTGAAAATCATGGCCTGGCTTTGCCAAAGCAATTTCCATATTCCCAGTGGCAGCAACAGGGAAGGACCCCAGTGCACACCTTTCTCTCTCCCACAAGCACACATAACCCTCAGATCTCCTCTCCCACCTAAATATCCCACTGCCTTGAGAATGAAGGCAAACATGGGGAAAGCCTATCACCAATTCCAAGCCCCACTCTTGATGATCATTTCAACCCACTCCCACCACCACCTCTTCCCTTTTTCATTAATTGTCAAATCAACATAATGCCACCACTAATAAAAATCTTAAAAAATGAGAAGATCTTAACAAAAACCTAACTACTAGAATTTTTCCTGCTTTATTTTAGGCTTTGCCAATATGCAAATACATGCAATATATATATATATATATATACACATATATATATATAAGATTTGTGATCATAATCTACATATTTTTAATCCTGCTTTTTAAACTTAACATTTTATCAGAAACATTTTCCCATCCTTCTACATAATTATCTTCATAATTTTCACTCTAAGTGTTTTCATAGTATTCCACCCAGTGAATGTACTGTGAAATTACTTAATCATACTCTATCCTTGGGCTTAGATTTGCTCCCAGTTTTTCATCATTGCAGACCATACAATAAACTTCTTCATACCTATAACTTTGTTGCTTTTGTTAAACTATATATAAGCTTAGAATAAACTTCTAGGATTGGCATTCTTAAATGGATAAATATGGAAAACTCGATGGCTCTTGCCACATAATGCTTTATAAAAAGGTTAAACTCATTGTCAATGCTACCAGCAATACATGGCGGGCCAGTTCCCTTTTAGTGGGCATTCTTTTCTTCATCTTACTTTATCCCAGAGCAGTTCATAAAGGCTTATGACAACCCAATCTTACCCTGACAGTAGAGTGGCAAGAGTACAAACTCTAAAATCAGATTGCCTGGCTTCACATTCTGGCTCTGGACACTTACTAGTTTGGACAAATTATTTACCTTCTCTAGGCCTTGGTTTCAATATTGGTAAAATGGGCATGATTATAGGAACCTTCATCGAAGGATTAATGTGAGGACTAAGTTAATCCTTGTAAAGTACCTAGAACAGTGCTGGCAATTCAACAATTAGTTCTTTCCCCTTTACCTGCCCATCTCTCCTGGTCCACTACCTCTTGCCCTCCTGTATGACTGCATAGTTCCTACATGTAGTGTAAATTTATACCACAATATGGAGCAGCCATCAGACAAAAGCAATCATCAAGGAACAGACCAGTGCTATAAATCAAGAGAAATCATGAATCCACCTACTAACTGCACCCTTCATATTCACACATCGCAGAAACCTAACAGACAAGATACCCACATTCACTGACATTTACACACACACAAGCTCCTGCTAAAGAGGAATTATTTTGGATTAGGAGGAGGAGTTTCATTTTTAATGAAGCCTTGGGCAAACATGTCAAATTCCTTAGCTTCAGTGCCACCATCTGTCTAATGTGATGATAATAAGCCCTGTAAACCTACCTTAAGGTTTATTGTGAGGATCAAATGAGAAGATGGCTCTGGAGTCTGTAAATAACACAGAGAATTCTAGAAGCATACAAACAGTGGTGTCTCCAAGAATGAGACTTAATTATTGTCTGGCCCATCTCCTTGTTTCATGGGTAAGAAAACTGAGGCTCAGAAATGGAGTTATGAGCAAGGTCACAACCATTCCTGGCTGAGTTAGAACCAGAATCCGTATTTCCTAGCACACAGCCTAGTATTGCTCTTATTTCCCATTTTTTCACCAAGCTGGGATGACTGCTTTCCACTCCTCCTCCCGTTAGTTAAAGTCCACAGAATAGAAATAGCAGATTCCAGAGAATAGAAAGATTTGTAGAGATATTCATTCCTTGGGGTTTTTTCTTTGTATGTTCCTCCTGTCCCCTGCCAAAATCAATACCAGGAGAATGTTTGCAGGCTTACCATGTAGGACTCAGGAAGAAATATAAAAAATGAAAGGTGACAAGTCTATAATCCCTGATCCCAAATAGAGAAACATGACCCTCTAAGGTAGAAATAGCACTGTCACCTTGAACCTTGACCCACACTTTGGTTTCTCCCTCTCTTCTGCCTCCACTCTGGCCAACTGTGGAAAAGATTCTATATAACATCATCTCAGGAACCCACTTCAGGCACTACTCTTTTGGAGTACAACATCAAATCTGAGTTATGACCACCACTGCCCTTTAATCAACAAATGGAAACAAATCTATAACATTAGCCATGCAGACATCACAAATTTTCCAAGACTAATGACAGAATTCCTGCTCTTCTCTGTGTTTGGCATCGGGTAGACACAGCTTACAACATCTGTGCAAAACAGCTGTGCTTCAGTCAACTCACCCCCATGTTTGCTGTCTCAACAGCCCCTGGGCTAAAACCTAGCAGGATGTCCCTGGACCCTGACGGTCACTAGGGAGTCAGGGCATAGCCACAAGAAAATTGAGAGGGTCCAAGAGAGGTGGCTCATCACCAGGGTGATTGTGACTCGGGTGGGAGTCAAGGTGGGCTTGAGTCCTCCTGAGCTCCTTCAGGATAGAGCAGAGTGGGAGAGGATTCTAAGGGTGGGCCCATTTTCAATGGGCTGAGAAATGGGGAGGCATTGAGGAGGGGGGGCAAACATAGACAAGAGCCCAGAAGTAAATGTAGAAGAAAGGGAAGGAGCTGGAGAGAGTGGAAGGCGGAGGGAGGAAGGAGGAGAAGGAAGAGAGGGTGAGGGAGGGAAAAGGAAAGCTAGGAAGAGGGTGGGGGAGGAAAGGGAGGGAAGCAACCACAGCTGGGGGTGAGTGAGGTGAAGGGAGAAAGCACATGCTCTGTGCCGGACAGGGGATGGGTAGGAGCAATGGTGCAGAGCTGTGCACACATGTGCTCCGTGCACACACAGTGAGCAGAGCTCTGTGTGCCTGGGAACTTGCCTCAGCTTCAAACAGGTATGGTCTAATAGGAAATGAAGCAGGCACCCGGGGCCTACGACCCCCTTCTCCATTGTAATAAGGAAATTGAGCACTTGATTGCCCAGGTTAGAGGCTGATGATATCAGGCCCCCTGGCAGTGAGGTGGGTCTTGTGACCACATCTGGGGGAAGGGAGGGAAGCCGGAATGGTGTGGGTGGTTTTCTTAGAAAATAGAACTGGTTTGGAGGATGCTAGGAAATCATTTAAACAACTAGTTAATAGAAAGAATTACACATGTATTCT